GGGGTGGGGTGGCGGGATGTTGCGGGCGGCGTGACTGTGAGGGTCGGACGGGGCTGGGGCATATATGCAGGAGGCTCCGAGACAGTTGGCTCTCAGTGCATACTTGCCCCAGTTACACCCGAACGCCGATGTCCAGTGGCCTGGAAAGGAGTGCTGCCCACGCCACCCTCATTCTCTCTTCACCCGTCCTCCGCTGCCCCCCTCCCACTCCAGGGCAGTGGGGAAGTGGGGCAGGGCCGGGGCATGGCCACTGTGACCCCTGCACGCTAGCCCTCTCCACCCTTTGCTTCCCTCCCACCCTGCGCGGGACCGATCTTGACAGCGTGGCCCTCACCGGCGCCTTTGCTAAGCCTCGCCATCTGCAGCTCAGTGCAGATCCTGCCAAACTCCCGTCTGACAAATGATAAGAGACTTGGAGACGTCGCCGGGTGGGTGGGGCTCGGTGCCAGCCTGGCTGCTCCCCGCGCTCCACGCTGCAGAGCCATATGGGTTGCTTTGGGTTTTAAAAAGCACATCGCCTCGTGCCCTCCGTTCTGCCGGAGAGGTGAGCGGGATCTGGCGCAGACCAGGCACGGAGGGTTTATGTGGCCGGGCTGGGCCTGTGCTTTCCGACCAGGTGCTGCAGCCGAGGGGACCCCCCCCAGCCATGGGCCCCCTCCTCCTGGCTTGGCATCCCCAGTTTCGGATGTTTGATCACATCAGCCAGTCTCTCTGGTGCTTAGAAGCAGAGATGTGTGTGGAACCTCGCACAGGACTTGCCACATAACCGCCATTCCGGTGACGGTGGTGCAGCGACCCTGTTGCATTCGGAGGGCCCTGCAGAGCGGTGCAGGCAGGTGACCAGGCTCCCCGGGAGGCCTTCGCCAAGCAGGCGAGGGAGCCGTGAGCGGAGCCTGCTCTCGGAGCAGACGTTCCGGGGGAGACACAGTGGCGACACGCATGGTGTTCCTTGGCGAGAAGTGCTTAGAGGAAGTTGGGTGGGGTCCTTCCGATCTTACCCACGTGCCCGGGGAGGCCATTTTGATTAGGCGTTTGGGCCGGGACCCAAGCGCAGTGGAGAGCAGCCGGAGGCTCTCTGGGCAGAAGGTTCCAGGCCAAGGAACAGAACCTGCAAACGCCTTGAGGCAGGTTCTTGTTCCCATGGCAGCTTTATGTGCCTTCTCTCCTCTGCGGGGCAGGTGGTTACATTGACTTGGGTTCGAATCCTAGCATCGTCAGTGACTAGCCAGGGCTGTCGGGTGGCTCCCATGGCCTCCCTGAACCTGTTTTATCTGAGAACCGGGGAACCGGTCCTCCTGCCTCCCACGAGTCCGCCACGGGGCTCCGCGCTGGGCACACGGAGCCCAAGGGTGTCTCTTTCCTCTAAATGCACGTGGCTGAAGGGCAGGCGCTCAGCTCGGCCTCTGCGTCTCCGCGGGCCTGTGATGCCCTTCACGTGTGACATAAGCACGCGCTTGCTGAACTCAAGGCCTCTGTAAGGCCTTGCTGTGGTGTCTTTTAAAAACCAGAGGGGTTGAAGCTCAGTCATGGTTTTCATTCAGCTCCTGATAAGAGAGTTTGCTCGTGGCTGTGAGGAATAGAGTGGTCATGTGCAGGCGCGCAGAACTGTGTTTACCGGTGTCGGGCACCGAAGACACTGCTTCCTGTGGCCTACAAGGGGGTGGATTGTGCATGAGACTTACTGCTTCACATCAGAAAGAGGGTTAAAAAAAACACTTATGGAGACCATTTACAGAGAAAATTGCCTTAAAACATTCGATAAATGCAAAGTGTTCTTTCTCCCGTTCACATGTCGTTCTGCAGCACCGATCACTGCGATCTCTGAAACGTGTGCTTTTACAAGAAGCGTTTAAAAGCGTCCCCGTTTCTCGTTCCCATTTTGGTTTTCAGCACTGGATCTTCTGACGTTTCCTAAATGGCTTTTATATGCAGATTTATAAAAACATGAAAGCCGTGGTCCGCGCCCTCAACCTCATCGACGTGAACAGGACGGGCCGGATGCAGCCCAAGGAGCTGCGGCGTGTCCTGGAGACCTTCTGCCTGCGGATGACGGAGGAGGAGTACAGGAAGTGAGTGAGGGGGCGCCCCGAGACCATTTCCAAAAGGGGGCCTGTCGGTTCCTCGGATCCTCACATTGTCCTCCCTCCCTCCCCCCGTCTCCACTCTCCTAAAAGGGGCCCTGTTCGCCCTCCTCCCACGTTCACGCGGCTCTCCTGGAGTCTCCGCAGGGAGAGCTGACGGCTCTCACTCCTTCAGCACCCAGGGTGGGAGTCACTGGCCTGGGACTCCCCGCACCTCCATGAAGGTGACCCAGCCCCAGCTGCCTGGCTCCTCCCGGCTGGCACCACGCCCTCCAGCCCCGTGCTGGCAGCGCACAGCCACTCACAGCCTGGGGTTCGGAGGAGAAGGAAACTGTCCACATTTATTCACGAGCTGACACTCCCGACTGGCTCTCCATCCTGATACGTTCATTGTCTCGGAGGACTGTTCCTGCCGGGGTCGGGGCGCTCCACAGGGGACAGCGAGGGACTGAACTTGAGCTGCTCCATGTTTGGAAGCCCTGCCACGTGCCCTGAGGGCACTGAGCGGAGCCGCCAGTAAACTCGGGTCACGTGGAGGCAGCCAGGTGCTTGCTTCAGTGGCCACTTGAGTTTTGAATGGGAGCCGCTAGGAGGGCCCATGTTTAACTTTATAGAGGGCTCAGCCCCAGGCTCTCCGGCTCCTCCCCTTCCCACTTCTGTCAACACCCTCCAGGCCACCAACTGGAGTGCCACACTCAGTGGTTCACCCCAACACTGACATGGCTGTGGAAATGGCTCGCTGTGGTTCCTTGCACAGTATTTTTAATTAAAAAAGAATCAATTAGAGAGAGAGAGAGAAAGACATCGATTTGTTTTCCCACTTATTTATGCATTCATTGCTTGATTCTTGTATGTGCCCAAACTGGGGATCGAACCCCAAACCTTGGTGTAGGGGGATGATGCTCTAATCAACTGAGCTACCCGCCAGGGCGTCCTTGCAGTAGTAACGAGACACTGTGGCCTCTGTTGGAGGCGGAGGCCTGCGCTCCTGTGGCGGGGAAGTCAAGAGGGTGTGTGGCTGGCGCAGGCACTGCAGGGTCTGAAAAGCAAGGAGACATTTTAAAAATGGAAATCTCCCAGTCTTTTGAATAATTCCTTTTTTCCGCTTTATCACCCACCTCAGAATATAAAAGCCATAATAGATGTTTTAATTTTTACATCTTCCCGGCTGGGAAAGTGTCCAGAATAAGATCCAAACAAAACAAATTAAATAATTTTGTGCACGCAATTATAGAACACAAGCAACACTTTAAAGCCGGCAATCAAAAAGCAGAACTGTTTTATTTGACAATAAACCTTGCGTTTGGCACAGCCGTCTCCAACCTAGTAAATCTATAAAAAATGCTGCTGTCTGCTTCCCCATCTCACAAGCACTGAATAATAAAGGACTCCACTCATTTTTTTTTGAGATGTTTTAAGCCTCAGAAACAATGCTGTTTCCTGCTGAGGCTGAGGAGGGGGGCTGCCTTCCTCGGGGAGGGAGCGCAGCCGTCAAAGCCGCCATGTCCTCCGCGGCTTCAGTGCTTTTCCTGTGCCTCACGCACATGCTCTTCCCCGGGAAGCGGCTTCAGGACTAACGGTGTCTTTTCCATGTTTGAGCAGGAAACACAGTGCATTTTTGAATCCTCCTTTCTGTTCAATCTATTTAATGTCAGCCTTCAGAGCTTGGTGTGGTGGGCGTGGCCGGGGCTTGGGGTCAGGCACCCTGGGGTCCAGTTGTGGTCTGCCCTCCCTCGTGCTTGGCCCTCGGGAGGCTCTGGGCCTCTCCGAGACTCAGTTTCCTCTTGAAGAAACGGAGGCGAGGAGCCTGCCTGGCAGGGATGGTGTGAGGAGTCCAGCGCGCCAGGCATTGATTCTGTACAAAGCGTGCTGCAGTGCCGTAAGCGCGTTGATTCCGTTAGCGCCCCCTCTCTTGGTAAAGAGCCCTCTGCAGGCTGCAGAATGCCCTCCAGCTGACTTGAGCCAGGGGCGGGGGGGGGGGGGGGGGGGACTCACCAGGTTTTACACCTCATCAGAGGATCCCGAAATCCGAGGGCTTCTTTTCTCGTTCCCATCTTGCCCCCCTGCCCTCCGCTGCCTTACAGGCCACAGTGCTGGAAGCAGGTGAAATAACTGATGAGCAGCCTGGAGACAGACAAAGGCCCTACTCCGCCCTCCTCACCAGCGGCCCGTCGGCTGCCAGCCGGGGAGCCCCCAGGCTCAGGTCCAGCCGGTGGCCCTGGAGAGGCTTCGGGGTCAGCTGGTATCTTTCCCTTTGCCCTTCCAGTCGACCTTCCCACAAGACTGACCTGCCTGAGGTCTCTGGACGTGTGGGTGCAGGTCCCTGGGAATGAGGCCTGGGTTGTATAATCTTAGGAGTGATTCTGTCTCCCAGGCCTTTATTCTTATTTAAAAAAATCCAAAATCCGCACAAAAAACCTCTGAGATACCGCACGCTCGGGCAGGGCGGGGCTGCGCTCTCTGGAGGAGGCCTCACCGTGGGTTCTGTCTGTCTGTGCGCAGTGACTGTGCATGGACATTGAGACCGGGCCAGGAGGGCGTTAGGAGCAAATGCCAGTTTGAAGGGTTGCTGGTTTTCACAGCAAATGATGGGCTGGTGAGGAGATTTCCGCCTGCGTCCGTCTCCCGGTAGCAGCCGGCAGCCAGCACTGTCTAGAGTTCGGCGACTGAAAAGGGAGCGTTCGGGGCGCCTCCTGGGTCCCGAGCTTGAGCCTTCTGCGCAGGAGACAGCCTGTGGGTGAGGGCGGGCATTTGGGGACCTCAGTGCTACATCCGGCAGCTGTCAGATCTCAGGATAATTCTCTTGGTGGAACAATAGGCAGGATTCTCCACGGCGGGAACAAAGGTGTGCGCGGGGATGCGTGCATGACATCACCCTTTGTTAAATTTGGAAAACAGAAAAGTAACAAATACTTTAAGTGATAATTACTAAATTTGTAGAAAGCAGCATGAGATGAGATAATTATAGAAACCAACACATATGGAGATAACATAACCAAACCTTTAAAAACTGTCATTTTTAAGTAAATGTAACAACGCAGAAATTATCTAGAAAACTATATATCAGGTGACACACTGGAATAACTGGGAAAAAATTCCAAACATCCTATTTATCTTAACTTAAAAAATAGCGTATCTCCATATATTTCAGGGAGAAACATTGGTTGTGATTAAAATTTTCTCTCTATATAGAAATCATAGCATGTGCCAAGAAAAGTGCTCCCCCCCCACACACCCCTGCTGCAGTTAACGGCTTGAAACAGTATGTCACGCTGGTCTCAGTTTCTCTGGTGAAAGGACACGCTTGGTCAAGGTGATGGGCATGTTCTCCCTGCACCCAGCTCTAGGTTCTCTGATTACTGACATTTTAACCAGAGAAACTATCTTCTGGCCCAGCTCTGTTCCCCCAATTATGACAGGAAAGTGGAACCTGCCTTTGCTCTGAGTGCTGGCGTGGCTCCCAGGCAGCACACACCCTGGCCGCCCCTCCTGCCACAGAAAGATGGCCCCATAGGTGTCCCAGGCAGAGCCTTCCCCTGGGTGGGTCCCGAGGCGATCCTGCCCTGTTGGCCTCCACGTGATCCTGCCCTGTTGGCCTCCACGTGTGCCCGCCCCGTTGGCCTCCACGTGTGCACCTGTCCCATTGGCCTCCACGTGCGCCCGCCCCGTTGGCCTCCACGTGCTCCTGCCCCGTTGGCCTCCACGTGTGCCCGCCCCGTTGGCCTCCACGTGCGCCCGCCCCGTTGGCCTCCACGTGCGCCTGTCCCATTAGACTCCATGCACATCCACCTATAGACAGAGTGAAGGGCTCTGCTCAGAAGTACCTGAGGGCTCTGCTCAGAAGTACCTGTGTCTTTAATAAAGGGTAACATTTCCTGGCTGCACGTGTAACTCCGGTGTAGCTAGAAACACCATTAGAGTGAACACCACCCCTAGTGTGGACGATGCCTTAGGGACAAACGTGCTTCATTTGTAGTCTGTCCACAATTGCTGGTCACTAAGGCGTGTTTCTCTTTTAGGTTTGCAGAACACTACAGCATTAATACGGATGCCTCAGTGGATTACAATGCCTTTTTGAAGAGCCTCAGTATAAATAATAACTTAAACCTCAAGTATTATTTGGGAGATCAAGGTATGTGTTTTTAAGTATAGGGCTCAGGTTTCAGTAGCCTGGGCATGCACGTCCTCATCTGTGGACCTGCCCTGAGGAAATGGTTTATGGAAAGTGCATTATCCCCAGAGGAGGCCTGGGATCGGGCAGCATCAGAGGAACACGCATGTCCAACAGGAGGAAGGGTAAGAGCCACAGCGCACCCGCCCAGTGCGGTGCTGCCATGAGCCATGCTTTCCACGAAGGTCACGGGAACATGGAAACGTCTGTGGAATATCAGCAAATGGTTAGAAAGAAATTCCAAAATACAGATTGTCCTTAAGTGATCTGTCTCGGGGTGCTGTTCGGTTCTTTTTTTTGCTGCTTCCTTATTTTCAAAAGTTTTTGATAATGAACATGTTATTCCTTAATGGTGGGGAGAATCTCACTATAAAAGGGCAAACAGTTGAGTCATTTATGTTGGTCATGCACAGCCAGGCTTATGCAGGCTGATAACCCGGAGAAGGAAAAGTGTTCCTTTTTTTAAAAACATATTTTATTGATCTCCGAGATAAAGGGAGACGGGGGAAGAGATAGAAACATCAATGATGAGAGAGAATCATTGATCGGCCGCCTCCTGCACGCCCCCCACTGGGGATCGAGCCCCCAACCCAGGCATGTGCCCTGACTGGGAATCGAACCGTGACCTCCTGTTTCATAGGTGGACATTTAAACACTGAGCAACACAGGCCGGGCAAGTTTTCCTTCCTTTATCTCAGCGCCCAGAGCTGTGCCCTGCTGGCTGGCTCTGCAGGGGCAGGTTCCCTCCCTGAGAGCACGTGTTTGAGGGGTGCCAGCGGAGATGCCCCCTTGAGGCCCTGTGCTCCCCTGAGGCCGGTGGTGTCTTGCCTCAGAGTTTACTGCCTGTGATTGGCTCACTCAAGAGGGCTTGTCGCTGTCCGGCTTCAACTTAATTCCGCACAGCAGGTATTCCCGGCACCTTCTGCTTCGCTCGGCCTCGCTGGCAAGCTTCACGTGACAGTTCTGAGTTCAGCTCGGTCTCTAACCACGAGAGCTTATGGCGGACCCCAGGCTCTGCTTTTACAGGCCCCTGGCTTGGGAATTAACTAGACAAGGAAATCTTCCAAGGACCCTTTTGTCCCTCACATCCAGTTACGATGCAGGTCCTGTTCTAGGCCCTTCGCTGGGCGCAACACCGAGTAACACACTGTGTTTAAGAAGTGTGCGTGTGGCCTGGCCGGCGTGGCTCAGTGGTTGAGCATCCACCCATGAACCAGGAGGTCACAGTTCAGTTCCCGGTCAGGGCACATGCCCGGGTTGCAGGCTTGATCCCTGGTGTGGGGCGTGCAGGAGGCAGCCGAGCAATGACTCTCTCTCATCATTGATGTTTCTATCTCTCTCTATCCCTTTCCCTTCCTCTCTGAAATCAACAAAAAATATATTTTTTAAAATGTGTGTGTGTGTGTGCACATTAATATAGGGCAGGTATATTGTGTGAATATTAAATAGGGCAGGTGAGATACAATAAGTCACGTGAAGAAGAAGTAATACTCAAAAGCAACTACAGGGTGTCCCAAAAATGTACACACACTTGAACAGCTGACAGCTCAACTGGTGCTTCTTTCTTTTCAGATTTAACCCATTGGAATTATAATTCCTCAGAGTGTGGATACATTTTGGGACACCCTGTATTTATTGTGCTCTGTGTAGATACTTTAGAAACTTTAATGTAAAATTTCATTTCTCTCAATAGCTTTGTGAGGCGGTTTTATGATCCCATTTTCAGACGAGAAAACTTGGACTTGCGGTGCTAGTTTGTGGTGGAGTTGAGAGTTAAACTATTCAGCTCCAAAGCAAACTATTTACGGTGTATGCCCCCGAGAAATGAACATGTCATGGTGTTCACAGGGGGAGGAGGGAGGACCGAGCTAGGAGGCGCTTCCTCAGGACCAGGGTTCACAGGGGGGGTGACGGAGCCCGGAGACCGAGGGCATGAGCCTTCCAGCCCCAGGCCCTGGCGGGCTGTGCAGTTAGCTCGAGCGGGGGGTGAGGTGGTGCCTAGCCTGACGGGGGAGGGTTTACATCACAAAGAAGTTCATGTGCCTGTTCTGTAACCATCACAGTTGACCCTGTTAATGAACATTTGTTCCACACACAGCACTGGTCTTTTTTTCATTTTCACCACAGTCATGTGAGGCAGGCACAGATGCAGGGGAATAAAAAGACAAAGAAAAGGATCAAACCAGTCCTCCCGCCCGTGAAAAGATAACCACTCTCAGCGTCAATCCTGGCATCTTTCCATGCAAATCTGTGCGAAGGAGGGGCAGATAGAAAAAATGCATTTGTAAAATGGGCTCACACATGTGCTATCTCATGTAAGTTTTTGTTTTACTTGAGTGTGTCAGAAGAATAGGGTTGAAATGGAGCTGAGGAAAAGGGATGTATCTGTCTATCGGCTGCGTGTCATGTTCAGGTCACACTTTCCCCTTCAGAACATCATAGACTTGCGCCCATTGCTTTCTGGCCCCAAGTCTGCTTAACTTTCCAGCTGGTTGGAACGGTTACCCCAGAGGTGACTGTATGGCTAGGGTTTGTCTTGGTGTTGAGCTTTTTGTACCAAATCACAGTTTATTTTCAATCTGCAAATTTAATTATTTCTTTATGTTGAGGATTGTTGTTGTTTTTTTTCAGTAATATTATATAGCTTTGGATATCTTCTAATCCATTTTTCAGATTTTTAACTTCAGTGACACAAATTATCCTTATGTTGGATTGTCTTGTCTTCCATATCGATTAACTTCTCTCAGTTCACTTTATTCTCTGCCTTTTCCCTCTGCATTCACAGTGATCACCTTTGCTCTTTTATCCATCCCTGTAATTTGCTTCTCTCCCAGGTGTATTCTGTTCCTTGCTGTGTCTGCTTTGTTACTTCTATAATGGAGTTTTCTTTTGTCTGTTATATTATTTTTCATTTCATTTTGTTGTTTTGTTATCTTTTACTTAATTCATGTTCTTATTAAGATGCTAAAATTGTAGTTTTGTACCGTGAGTTACATTTTTAAGCAAAATGGGAGCTTCGCCTTTGTGGAGTATGCCCCCTTCTTCTCTGTCCACCTACGTCTCCCCCCGATATTTTTCCTGTAGAATTTGCATAATTTCAAGAAATTTGGATAAATTGAGCATTTTTATTCCATTATCCATCTTTAATTAATTAGAATCTACCTTTAAGTAATACTGTACTAATTCACATAAAGTGTAAGGACTTTGCAACAGTGTTTTTCCAATTCTTCTCTCCTGTTCTTTGTTATATCTGTCATACATCATATTTTGACATACACTAAAAACATGATACATTGCCATAGCTTCTAGCTTTCCACTGAGACTTTCTGTGTATTCATTCATTATGAGTGTGCCACGCCAGCACGGCCAAGGGTGATCCCGAGTGGGGGGGGGGTGAAAGGATTAAGGAAAGACAGACGAGAATAATAGCTGGGTCTCGGTAGGACGCTGCTCCCTGATGAGGAGACAATAACAGCACCCACAAGCCGTGTCTTTATTTTATAGCAGATGCCACGAGGCAAAGTAGGGGCGTGATCACGTTGTTTACAGCATTCTTGTGAGTTTCAACCTCACTCAACTGCATGCACCTGAACTCTATCACAAGGCACGTGGGGCCACGTGTTCGGACCATAGGTTCAAGCTCACAACCACAGCCGTTGGCTATGATTGTGCTGGGCGGGCCCTGCCCTCCAGCTGGGACTTGCACGTGGCAATGAGAGGACCCTGTCCTTTCATTAGTCCGAGGCTTGAACCTGGCCAAGACACGGTAGCCGCGACCCACATATGAGTATATTTTCTTTTATATTCTCAAACACTGGTTTTACGTAAATGGCTTTGAAATTTTAACCTGCTAATTCCAACATTTAGATCATCTCAAGTTTGGTCTTTATTGAGTACCTTTTTTCTTGAATATGGATCACAGTTTCCCGGTCCCTGCTCCCCCCTCCCCCACCCCCTGCCCCCCATGTCTGGGAATTTGGGAATTTGTCCTGGATATTCCAGTAGTAAATTTTGTGTTGTGGAGACTAGGGCTCTGTTACGTTCCTCTGGAGAATTTTGTTTTTAGCAGCCAGTTTACTTGGCTCCGTTCAGCCTCTAATCTGTGCCTTCCTGAGGGCGTTCGCTCACACCTGGACCCTCCGGGCTCCTCTCGGCTGGGCTTTTGTTGTCCGCTCAGCGCGGCCGTCGTGGGGTCAGCCAGAGGTTTGGCAGAGAACGTTCGCAGAGCCTCCTCTTTGCCTCTCTGTGGGCTTTCCCTCCTGGCTTCCCGATGCGGTGCTGGTCATTGACGCTGTTTTCTGGTTCAAAACCCAGCAAGACCCTGGGTTGATTCCACATTCGAGCCACTCAGCATGATTGCAGCGGCGGCTGCTCGTGGGCTAAAGGCCAGCAAGAAGCGGCTCCGTGAGCGTTACTCCACGTTTCCACGTGCAGCTCCAGTCACGTCAGCTGCTCTCCAGGGCCTTCAGGTAGTTCTCTGTGTGTGTTTTGCCAGAGGTTAGAACTGTTTTCTGCTGGAGGGTTGGTTCAGTGTGAGCCAACCTGCAACAGTTAGAAGCAGAGCTTTCTGGCTGCCCGTATTAAGTTCCTTTTTGCTTCAGTTTCCTGCTGGTAATTTTTTCCTAGTTTTTCCTATCTTTTTCTCTTTAAGAAGGTAAGTTTTATAATACAATTTCAATTCACCATGGAAACCTCATTTTTCATTTGCCAATAATTAGCAGCAGGCTTTACTGGGGATACATAAAATAGTGACACGTCTCATAACGAAAGGCTCCTTTGATCCGCTTAAATGTGAGACGTGTATGTGGTGACTCTTCCGCATTCCTGTTCCTGCAGCATCAGCCCGGTTCTCGCTGCTGCCTGCTGAGCGGGCCATCGCCTCCAGCGCGGCCTCTCCGGCCGGCCTCTGTACCCAGCCATAGGGACCATCTCACCATCAGCTCTTCCTCCCGCCTGGCTTCCCCTTTAAACTTCTCCGATAACTTCCACGATTGAAGTTCACACCCTTCCGTTGAGGCAGCCTCCTGGTGTGGGTGTCCTCAGTGAAGGGCACAGTCTGTGTCTCAGGAAGCCACTACCGCCTTCCTTCTCGAAAGTACCGACCGCCTATTTGGGCGCATGAAGAGATGACATTGGGCGATTTCCTTTACGCTCCGGGTTTCCTCTCAACCCCATTTCAAACCAGCAGAATCCTTCCCAGGAGCCTGAGGGCCTGTGGGAGGCGGCAGGAATGACTGAGCTGCACTGGAGAGCGAGGCCGGTGGAGGGGCAATGGATGGGCACAGGGGGCTCTGTAACCCGCCTGGTGGAGGGGCAATGGATGGGGCGCAGGGGGCTCTGAAAGCCGCCTGGTGGAGGGGCAATGGATGGGGCGCAGGGGGCTCTGTAACCCGCCTGGTGGAGGGGCAATGGATGGGCACAGGGGGCTCTGTAACCCGCCTGGTGGAGGGGCACTGGGTGGGCACAGGGGGCTCTGTAACCCGCCTGGAGGAGGGGCACTGGATGGGCACAGGGGGCTCTGTAACCCGCCTGGTGGAGGGGCAATGGATGGGCACAGGGGGCTCTGTAACCCGCCTGGTGGAGGGGCAATGGATGGGCTTAGGGGGCTCTGTAACCCGCCTGCTGCAGCAGCTGTAGCTGCCCAGGGCCTGGAAGATGGGCTCCCAAGGGCAGGCCTCACTTGTGCCTGTGCCAGTCCTGCGCCTCCCGGGCCTGCCGTGTGTCAGAGCACACCAGTGTCGCCAGAGTGCAGGGGGCACAGGGCACAGTGCCCGCAAGTGTGCGGTCAGGTCCGCGCCTGGTCTGGGCCTGGCTTCCCCAGCTTTCCACGAGACTGTGCCGTGTGCGGCCTGAGAGCCCGTGTCTCCCGCGCTCAGCCGCCGGGGCCCCGCATTCCAGGCCGTCCTGAAGGCCCGGCTTGCGTTTCATTGTGTAGCCAGGGGCCCGCCGGGCGGCTGCTCCTTTCCCTTCCTGTCTTGCTTCTTTGAGGCAGGAAGGGAGCTGCAGGCGACGGCGGTTGGTAGCTGCAGCTGGTGGTTACGAGTGCGCTTAATGTGAGCGCAGCTTATTTGCAGACATTTTAGGAAATAAATCTGGGAAACCATTTGTGATTCTTTGCAGTCAGCTTTGAGAGAGAAAATGGCTATATTTTAGATTTAATTCATTATCTTTATTATAAAAGTGATACATGCTTGTTGCAAAAAAAAAAAGAAAAAAGAAAAGAAAAAAAAAAGCCGGAAAACGCATCAGCACAAAATAGCAGTCTCTGTTATCCTCCACCCGAATCCTACCACTGTGTGCTTTGTGGTGCATCATCCTCCCAGGTTTTGTTTCTGATGCATGGATAGATGGGATGGATGGGTGGATGGGTGGAAGATGGATGGGTGGATGGGTGGAAGATGGATGGGTGGATGTAAGATGGGATGGATGGATGGATGGGAAAATGGATGGATGGATGGATGGATGGAAGGGATGGATGGGAGATGGATGGATGAATGGGATGGAAGATGGATGGATGGAAGATGGATGCATGGATGCATGGAAGATGGATGCATGGATGCATGGATGGATGGAGATGTATAGGCAAATACAAAAAATAAGTGTTAAAATGAAAATTAAATGATGCTAGTTGTCCTTTCTTTTAATAATGAAACAATATATATCAAAGAAAGCTTTCCCCGTGCGTTAATTTAGACAGGCACCTTTGTTTTTAATATCTGTGCAGCATTTCACGCGGGATAAGCCATCATCCGTAAACCCAGTCTCTGTTGATGAGCATCTACATTGTGCCCAGTGTTCCTCTCTCACAGCAGTGCAGGGAGCACCCTGCCCGGGGGCATTTGCGGGGGGTCCTCTCGTTCCTTTGCTACAACGTTGTAGCGGGACCTGGCCGTGCTCCGGGCCCTGGTTTTCTATACACAGGCCGGAACTCACTGATTTCTTCTTTATCGTTCCCTTTAATCCTTGCCTACGTGACAAGTAGAAAACGTTAAATTGTGTTTTTTTAAAGATATTTTTTATTGATTTCAGAGAGGATGGGAAAGGGAGAGATAGAAAAATCAAAGATGAGAGAGAATCATTGACCGGCGGCCTCCTGCACACCCCCTATTGGGGATGCAGTCCGCAACCCGGGGACATGCCCTGACCAGGAATTGAACCACGACCTCCTGGTTCATAGGTCAAACTTATTTTAATTAGACTATTAAAATTACCAATGAGTTTGAGCCATTTTTCATATATTTGTTAGATTTTTTTAGTCCTTTTTATGTGAATTACCTGTTTATAACCTTAGTCTATTGCTCTATTGAGTATATTTATCTTATTGATTTGTAAAAGCTACTCATATATTATGGAAATTAACCTGTATTTCTCATGTATATTAGCAATAGTTTTTCCCACTCATTTTCTTTCATTGTTATTTGTGTGAGTGTGTTGTTTTTTACCAAATAAAAATAAATATATTGTTGGACCTAGTCATTATTTAAGTGATTTCTGGCTTGAAAGTGTTCCTTAGAAAGGACTTCTCACACAGATGCTATGTGTTATGTGATATTCATCTTCATTTTCTTCTATTACAGTTTTATTATTCTACTCACTGTACACTTGGCTCTATCTAAGGTTTATCTGAGGATAAGATAGCAAAGAGATTAATTTTTTTAAATGTTCATCCAGTTACTTCAATACCATTTATTACATAGTTCATCATGGTTTGGTGTATTCGAGTCTCAATTTCTACCAGTCAGGTTATGATGAAAAGGAAACATTTAATATTTAATTGTGCCTCTGACAATATTAATAACCTAAAGCTCTTCCATTTTAATAGGGGCCTCAGGGGAGAATCAACAAGCAAAAACTGCCTCGAGGGACTGCGTCTTCCGCTGTTCCGATGCACCCGAAAGCCACTGGGAGGACCGCTCCTTGGATGAAATCGGCAGGGCCTTTTGCCAGGAGGTGAGGGTGTTTTCCCAGTGCCAGGGTCTCCAAGTGGGCAGAGGGGCCGCGTGGAATACCATTAGGTCAGGCGTCGTCAGATGTCGGTTCTAACGTTAGTTTTGCTCCTGTCTCCACCCCCCCAAACTCTACTTCCCCATCTCCTACAAACAGTAACACATTGATGACAGTGATGGTGCTGAGACCTGGGTTAAGTGCCTGCTTTGTGTTACTCACACACTGAATCTCATAAGAAATATTTAGGACATATAAAAACAGGGTGCAGCTGCCCTGGCCCGCTGGCTCAGCTGGTGCCAGTGCTGTCCTGTGCACCACAAGGGCGCGGGTTCGACCCCTGGTCCAGAGGCAGCCGACCCACGTGTCTGTCTGTCTCTCTCTCTCTCTCTCTCTCTCTCTCTCTCATTCAATAAAAACATATCCTCAGGTGAGGATGAAAACAACACGACACAGCTTTATTGAATAAAATATAGGAAACTTGCATCAGTAAAGAGGTCTTTTCTAGTTCTTGGATTGGAAGATGCGCTGTTAATGCCTGCTCTTGCGATTAGAACCTTTTCTTTTGGGAAGTTATAATGGAGGACGGATCCGCCCACAGATGGAAAGTTTATGAAGGTAGAATAATGCAGACGGTATGGCACTGGGCCCGTAGTGGACATTCAAGGTGATTTGAAACAGCAGTTGGAAATAGCGCAATCTTTACGTGTGAATTCAGCTTATGATTTGAGGTGTGGAGGGACGGGAAGTGGAATGTTCACTAATGATTGTTGGGATAATTCTAGCCATTTGGCGGGGGCGGGGTGGGGAGCTGTAAACTTCCCCTCTTCACAGCAAATGCATTCTGTATGCATCCACTATTTAAATGTAAAAGTAAATAATGTGGGTGAAAACATTTTAAGATTGACATTTAGACTTTTAAATGTGAAGTAAAGCCCGAAAACCGTAAAGAAAAAGATGGATAAATTAGACCGCATTGAAACGAAAAGGCTCTCTACAGCAAAACTTTATGTAAACAAATGATAAGCTTGGCGAAAAGTGTGCCATGTAAACAAGAGAAAAGAAATAACTGCCCCTAACATAGGTAGCACTCTTACAAATTCTTGATATAAAATTGTCAGCAGGAAATTGTCAGTGAGGAAAAAATTAAGAAAAGCCAGTGGTGATGAGGGTACCAGACAAGTGAGCACCAAATGGACTCTTGGTCAGTTGGTGAAACTTGTGTTGTTGTTAATGAATTTATTGGTTTCATCAAAACATGGGTATTACAAATCATAAATGCGAGCAATTCTGAAAACCACAAAGAAGAAAGTAATACACTATTCAGAGTCTACCATCCAGCAATGATCAAAGGCAACATTTGGGAACATAATTCCAGGCCTGTCTCGATTCACAAACGTGGAAGGATGGCTGCGTGGTGGGTGGGCGGGCGGGTATATACAGAGAAACAGTTTTCTAAGGAGAGAACCGGGCTTGTTTCTTCCCGAGGAAGGCCCATTGGATGTTAATTCCTCTGGGCGGCCTACCTGCCAGGCACCTCACAGGAGCCCTCCCGTTCAGCCTTCCCAGCCACTCCGTGCGGTAGGCACTCTTATCATCCCTTCCAAGTTGGGGAAACTGAGGCACAAAGCGGTTTAATGACTTGCCCCAGGTTACACTGCCAGTAAGTTCTGGAGCCACGTTTAAGCCCCTGGTCCTTTCCCGGCCGGCGTGGCTCAGTGGTTGAGCGTCGACCTATGAACCAGGAGGCCACGGTTCGATCCCAGTCAGGGCACAGGCCCAGGTTTTGGGCTCGGTTCCCAGTGTGGGGCGTGCAGGAGGCAGCCAGTCAATGATTCTCTCTCATCATTGATGTTTCTCTCTCTCTCCCTCTCCATTCCTCTCTGAAATCAATACAAATAATAAATAAATAAACAACCCCCCAGTCCTTGCTCACAGTGCTGTCCTCAAGTGAAGCCAGACATTTCTGAACTGTGGAGAGATGTGTCATCACTCAGGAGTCGTGAGGTCCCGGAGGGGCTTCGAGGCAAGAAAAGAGCTGAAGACAGTCATTAGGAACTAAGCGATCGCGGTGTTTGAAGGTTGTCTCACTGCAGACGGGAGGGCTGGCTCTCGGCTTGGAAACCCAGCGTGACCGTGACCGTGACCGCACTTCCTGGGTCTCCCCGGCCTCCCACCCTCCCGCCCGCCTCGCGGTTTTCGCAGTTTATGTTTTGTTCTTAGAGTCCCTGGTGTTGACACTCTGTCCTGTCCCCATAGCTCCCTGGGGGCTCTGCCCCTGTTTTACTTGCACATGGACGTAGGGCCACGCTTGCTGGTGGGCGCCTTTCAGAGTTCTTCATTCTGACCGGCTGACCTCACTGTCAAGTACTTCCCTCAGGAACGGCTTGTGGGGCTTCCCCTTCGTTGTTTCATGTTGGAGCCCGTCTCCTGTTGCTTTTTCCGGGAACAACACCGTCACTCTCTCTGTTTCTCACGGTGTGTTTCCATCGTCTGCTGGCACTGGGCGTCTGGAGAAGCCGCCGAGGCCACCTGATCCCCCTGTGGTGGCTTTCCCCCCCGGACGCCTGTAGTACTGTTTCTTGATCCTTGAAATTAAAAAGCAAACGAAGCGGTCCTGGCGGGGGCACGTCGAGCTCCTGGGGCACAGAGTTCTCATGTGCAGACGTGTTCTTCCATTGCAGGGACGTCTCCCCGTGTCCGTCACTAGATTCCCCCCCCCCCCCCCGGACCACCGGGCCTGTCCTGACAGCCGCCCTCCCCACCTGCTTTACAGTGTGGTTTTGCTGGGCTTCACCGAGTTCTCTCCAGCCACCCCTCCCCCGTGGGCTCCGATCCCAGCCTCGGCGCGTGTTCTTGCTGGTTGTAGTTGGTTTATTAGTTCGTATGATGCTGTTCATTTTGTTTTCTATTCCCTTAGTTTTGAAATATCCCTTCTCATCTCTTTTTATTGTTTTATCAACTTGTCTTCAAGCTTCTCTTTCAACGAATTCATATTTTTATTTAGTTTCTTTTTATGGCACCAAACCTTTGCAGGTGATGTGTTTGTATTTTTTCATATTATGTTTCTTTAAAAAAAAATTTTTCTTTTCTGTGAGGTTCCTTTGGAAAGCTTAGTGTTTCCTTTTCTTTTTATTTATTTCTTATTTTTTAAAATATATTTTTATTGATTTCAGAGAGGAAGGGAGCTGGAGAGAGAGATAGAAACATCAATGATGAGAGAGAGAATCATGGATGAGCTGCCTCCTGCACACCCCACACTGGGGGTGGGGCCCGCAGCCCGGGCCTGTGCCCTGAGTGGGAATTGAACCGTGACCTCCTGGTTCATAGGTTGGTGCTCAACCACTGAGCTGTGCTTATATGATGTTTCCATGCCGTCTGCATTCTTGGGCTTCCGCTGGACGTTTGTTTGTGCTTCGTAGTTTGTGCGCAGAGCTGCGAGACTATCGCCGTCCATCCTGGCTGTGCTTAGGCCAGAGTCCTCTTACTGCGGAGGGCGCCACACTGTCACCTGCATGCCGTGCAGTTTCCCGTTGTCCGAACCCGCACGGCGCACGCTCCCCTGGGCACCGATACCTGGGGCCCCGTCTGTGCTGATCCATTCGCTGCTGCCCCATGTGGCCGGCACAGTCTCGGTGCCCTGCGGGAGGCTCTCTGGGAATCCCGCCGGAGTGCAGGCGCTGGCGAGGGTGTGGGGCGCTCAGCGCTCAGCTCCGTGGAGGTGCCAGCCTGTTTCCCGGTTCAGTGCGCGCCCCGCAGACCTGGGAGCGCCTGTCGTCCCACGAGCTCACCAGCCCTCGATGTGAGAGTTCCCATTTTCACCGTCCGAGGCAGGCGAGATGGCATCTCAGCCACGCTTTCCAGTTTCACTTTTTAAAAAACCTGATGTGTCAAATGGTTTTTGTGCAACATTTATTTGGAACATTTTTGGTTAGAAAATCCATTTGTAACAGATATTTAATGAGTTTGCCTACTTCCTGAAAATTGTGCCTCATTCTAGGTAATTATTAGTGAACAAAACAGACGTAGTCTCTGCTTTCAGGAGGGCGGCATGATGGTGCTCCAGGGAGAGAGGTGTCAAATCCAGACACACACACACACACACACACACACACACACTCACACATTTACACACTCACATACACTCTCACACACATTCAGTCACACACGTTCACACACACGTTCACACATTTACACACACATTCACACTCACACTCACACTCACACACTCATAAATACAGTTGTTCCTGAGGGAGTGACAGCAAAGGAGAGGTGCTACGAGAGACTTATAAGGGGGCTGGACCTAGATCGGGGGCCAGGAAACATTTAAACAAAGTAAACGTGTAAACAGAAATGGGCGCAGCTTTCGGGTGTCCCCATGTGTCACGTGAGTGTGATGCCGACACCTGCTCGTCTCGGGAAACAGCTGGGCTTCACCGAGCACTGCCCGTGGTGCCGGCGGACACGGCCGCGCTGTGTGGAAGGGCTGCCCGTGGTGCCGGTCACACGGCCGCGCTGGGTGGAAGGGCTGCCCGTGCCCCCGTGATGCTGACGGCGGGGACACTGTAACGACTGGGTGGTGAGACGCCCGCGATCCGCGTCTCCTTCCTCGTGCTTTGCTGACTTGCTTGCTTTTTCATCTTTTGCTTCTGTATTAACAGTGACGGTGAAAATTCCTAGAAGGTTAGGCATGTCCCAGAGATCCCCTTTCCGTGTCACTCCCTCTCTTTCTCTAAAAACGCCGATGTCAGAACCGTTCCGGACACAAACCTCACCGGAGGCCAAAGGTCAGGAAGATGCTGACGGCGGGTTCGGGGTGCACCCAGCTCTGGTCTCTCCTGAGGGCCTCCCCCGGGCACCCACCTCCCTGAAAGAGAGACGCGCAAACAGCCACATTTTTGGTGAAATTTACACAACTTTCTAAGAAGCTTAGGCTCTGTGATTCTCTAAATATTTTCAAAGCTTTCCCCTAGTTGTCCAGTACTCCTGGGCGCTCTGCGGAAGTTTGAATGCTTCTTACGTTGTGGACAGAGACTCTTGTTCATATATTTCTGTGTCCCGGCAGCTTTTCTAAAAAGTCACCTTTCATGCCTAGTTGGTGGCAGGTTTGTGTACCTTCTTACCCAGTTAATGAGCAGGAAACCTGGAGGGGGACAGGGCGGGGGTGGCAGTCCTGGAGAACATCTTCCTCCCTCAGCAACAAACAGCAGGAAAGCCTCTGGCAGGAAAGCCAGTCCCCGTGGCACTTTTCTGAGTCCCAGGATGAATCTCTGGTTCACCTACTCACTGCATTTGCAAAGTCCCGTGAGCAAAGCTCACTCACCGGCTCCTTGTCATTCTCCATTAAAGAATAAAGCAATGTCCAGTGTGCGCTGTTTATGAGCCCTCAGCACTCTCCTCACTCTAAAGCCACTTGTGTTTTTAATGAGAGGCGCCGCTTTCCCTGTGATGACCGTCGTCGTCGGGAGGAGCGGAGGGCAGGCGCAGCGCGAAGGGTGGGGAGTGAGATGCATGGCCCGGCCGGCCCGCCTGCCCTCAGCCTGCCTGTGAGGGCGCTGCTCCGGGCGCTGCTGGTCCTGGGAGCCTGCCCGCCCGCAGCGAGCAGCCGTGCTGGGCTGTTCTGCAGGAGCTCGGCATTAGCCTGTGAGCTTCAGCACCTGCCGCCGCACTTTCTGATCAGTGTTCGGAGAGGAAAGTGTGAAGAGGTTTCGGTAAAAGGAGGTGGAGCCGCTCTGGGGAGCTGGGGCCTGTGACTGCTACGCTCTCATTTTAATCCCTTGCAGCTTTCCAAGTGCCGCGAGAAGGTGGAGAAGGCCCTGAGCGCCGGGGACCCCTCCAAGTGCGGGTACATCTCCCTCAATTACCTCAAGATCGTCCTGGACTCCTTCGTGTTCCAGTTGCCGCGGAGGGTCTTCATCTCGCTGATGAAACGGTAAGAGTCCCGCTGCTCCCTGGACATCTTTTCCCTCCACGTCAGCCGCGAGGGAAGGAGCGCCTCCTTTATTTCTATTAAATGCTTTGGGCTTTTCGCTGCTGAAAAGCTTGAACGCGTGCGGAAGCAAAGGGACTGAGAGGATCAGTCCCCACGCCCTCAGCCCCAGGGGTTTTTGAAACAAACCCCAGACATCACATTTCACTGGCTAGATCTCCAAACGACAAGAACTCTTTAGAAACCTGTGGAAACACGTGTCCACTCCTCGGAGAGTTATCGATGCTGATACTGTCCAGTCAGGGTTCAGATGTGACCAGTGGTCTCCTGTTTTCTTTTATGACGTGTATTTGAGTCCGGATCCAAATCCGGCCGCACACGTCGGCGGGTTGGTTGCCACAATTCTCTGCGGTCGCTAGGCCCCCCTCCACCTACTCATCATCCCCGTGAGGCGCGTGTAGGAGTCGCACTGTTTGTCACGAGGAGTTTCTTACCACACGAATCTGACCGTGGGGCCCACAGTGGCAGTCAGCATGCCCTCCCGCCTCCCTCCCCCGCCCGCCTGGAACGGGTAGGTCTGTAGACCCACGTCCAGTCTGGGGGCAAGAATTCTTCATGAGGGACTGCTGGTCTCCAGCGATGTGCGCAGCCACGGTGACCGGACTAGTGTGCACTCGGTCCGGAGTCTGCCGAGCGGTGATGTTCCCGTGGGTCATCCCTGCTCTTCTTGGTGGGGCTGCTTCTGCGGTGAAAGCTTCCCCTCCCCAGTGACTTGGCGACAATGAGGCCCCATCAACCTAAGACAGGCAGGAGACCCTGGGCTTCCTAGCACCTTCCTAGAGCAATGAGCCATCTGTCTTGAGAAACAGTACCAACCCATTTTGATTTGTTGCAGTTGTCATTCTCATTGATACTCAGTCTGTTCCATTGTGGTCGGGGGGCGGGGGAGGGGGGGGAGCCTTTTGCGTCTGCCCCGAGGCCACTGCTGCCACCCTCAGAGTCTGTGTCACTCTCTTGCTTTCCGGCTGACACATGCTCCGGCTCCTCGGGTCATCTCTTGGCCCCGACCTGGAATCAGCCATTTCTCCAGGATCCGTTTCCTTCCCGTTGGGAGTGGTGTGTGGAGATGGAACTCTGGGTGAGGAGCTCAGAGAACCTTTCGCAGGGGAGGTCGGGGGGAGGCTAATGGGAAGATTGTCTCACGGAGCTCTGGTCACGGCTGGCACTCGGGTGACCTCGAGAGGAAAGGGCTAGGAGAAGGAAGAGGAAGAAAGGGTGCTAAGCTAGACCAGCGGGTCATTTCCACTGCACCCCCTTTCCTTCTCCGCGCCCTGTGTATGCAGAGTCGCCACGTACGGCCACCTGCCTCCCACAGTGAAGGGCGCGGCGTGGCCCGGGAGCGAGTGCGCCCGTGGGCCAGCAAGCAGCTGTGGGTCCCCCCGTGCACGGTGACATTCTGCAGGATTGCCTTCTGGGATAACTGAAAGGTATACAGACATTTCTTTCTAGCTCATTTTCAAAATGATACAAGTAGTAATTTAATAGCAGCAAGAAAAATCAAAACCAGGAAGTCACCACCCACCTCACGTAGCAAATTTACTGTTTTCATTTCCCACACTCTCTTCTGCTCTGTGTCCGCATACATCTATAACTTTTACATATTTGTAATCCGCGTGTGTCTCCAGTTTTATATTGTGCTTTTTAAAACAGGAATGCATATTGCAGACATTCTTCATACTGCCGTTGTGGTCTTCCGAGTTGTAAGCGTAATGGATACATACTGAGTGCTTCTCTCTGCCAGACGTTGGGGGGGGGGGTGCTAAGAAGGCGGAAATCAGCGTGGCCGACCGGGGTGGTGGTGGCGGTGAAGCCGGTGACAGGTGCAGGGAGTGAGCGTAGTAGGAGGCCACTGCAGCCAGCACCGTGCTTCCGGGATAGCCTGTTCCAGCCAGCAACCCGGGAAAGGGGTTTCCTGAGTCGTGCCCTTTCCCGCATTCACCCAGAGGTCCCGGTGGAACAGGGCACGTGCGACAATGGCAAGGTGAATGCCCAGCGGCTTAATACCCTGAGTTGTAAATTAGGTGTGTCCCCTGGTGCATGTATGTGGAAGTAAAGACTTGTCATATCCTCCTGGTCAATGATCCCTTTAGAAGTATATAGATACCTTTTAATCCCTCTGACTTTTATAATCTACCTTATCTGATTTAAAAATAATATATTCTTACTAGAGGCCCAGTGCACAAAATTTGTGCACTTGGAGGGTTCCCTCAGCCTGGCCTGTGCCCTCTCGCAGTCTGGATGCTCTTGGGGGATGTCTGACTGCCGGGCCTAACCCGGCAGTCGAACATCCTTATTGCTGCCTAGGAGGCGGAAGAGGCCGCCGCCACTGCCGCTGCACTCGCCAGCCATGAGCCGGCTCAGGCCTTCTGGCTGAGTGTCGCTCCCCCTGTGGGAGTGCACTGACCACCAGGGGGCAGCTCCTGCGTTGAGCGTCTGCCCCCTGGTGGTCAGTGCATGTCATAGTGGCCGGTTGTTCTGCCGTTTCATCAATTTGCATATTAGCCTTTTATTATATAGGATTGATTTTAGGGAGAGGAAGGGAGAGGGAGAGAGAGAGAAAAAAACATGGATGAGAGAGAGCAACATCCATCAGTTGCCTTCCATACACACCCCGACTTGGGATCCAACTCGCAATCTGGGTATGGGCCCTGACCAGGAATCGAATTGGCAACCTTTTGGTGCCACTCCAGCCGGGCACCCTTAGCTGATATTAAAATATGCATAACAGTTTTCTTTAGATTACTACTTGTCAGGTATATCTTTCCCCAAACTTTTACTTTCGCTCTTTGGTTGTCATATTCTGTATCTGCTTTTTCAAAATTCCAAAATGAACATCTTTGCCTTTTCAATGGTAAATTTTAGTCTGTTTCCATTTATTGTGATGGCTGTTTGGGATTTTTCCTACCACTTTATTTTGTACTGTCTTATGTACTCAGCTGGTCTTTTATCTCCTTCTCAATCATGTTTGGTTCTGAGTTTTCCTTATCACTTTTTTTTCTCTCCACTATCTAGAGACTTAAATATTTTCTTTCTATTCTTGTGGAGATTACCCTTAAATTTGTAACATGTGCTCTAAACTTAGAAAGCCCAAAGCTAACCCATATTTCTGCTGTTGTGAATGAAACACGCACCTTTAACTTCCGCGTTACTGTCACCTGGTGCTTTGATCCCTCCTTGTTTTGACAGCACCAGAATTAGTTATTATTATTATTATTATTATTATTATTATTATCATTATATAACTAGAGGCTCAGCGCATGAAACCATGCACGGGTAGGGTCCCTAGGCCTACCCTGCAATCAGGGCCACCTTCCACCCGTTCGCCAGTCCCCAGTCCTGCCCCACTGCCGCCACCCACCCCGGTTCCCTGTGGTTCCCTGTTGGCTTTCCAGCGATAGGAGCCTGTAGGCTGTGGGGTGCAATCAGGGCCACCTTCCACCCGTTCGCCAGTCCCCAGTCCTGCCCACTGCCGCCACCACCCCGGTTCCCTGTGGTTCCCTGTTGGCTTTCCAGCGATAGGAGCCTGTAGGCTGTGGGGAGGGACCGAGAGGTGGTCAATGCACCTCATAGCGACTGGCTGATCGGTTGTTCTGGTCATTATGCCGTTATGGTTGCTGGCCTTTTATTATATAGGATGTGGTCTATACTTGTCTGGATTTTCTCATGTTTACTAGCATGTTTGCTCATCACTGCTTCCTAAGTCTCACTCCTTCCTTCTGAATTCCATTTCCTGAAGGATGTCCTTTAGTTGTCCTTTCAGTGAGGTCCTGTGAGGGGTGAGTTCAGTCTTTGTTTTCAAACAGTGTCTGTTTCCCCCTGGCTGATTAATGAACATTGAACAGGGAGTGGAACGCGTGTTTGAGAGTTATTCCTCGCAGGCCCTAGAAGGCATTGTTCCTGGTCTTCTGGTGGGTTCCCCGCTTGCTGTTTCTCTCAGTTGCATGATAAGCTCTTCGGGTTGAAGTTCACATCCTATATAATAAAAGGCTAATATGCTAAGTGTCCAGTTGTCTGTTCAACCAATCAAAGCGTAATATGCTAATGATATGCTAAGGTCATTCAACCACTCGCTATGATGTGCATTGACCACCAGGGGACAGACAGTCGACCGGTCGACCAGTCGCTGTGATGTGCACTGACCACCTGGGGGCAGACACTCTGACCAGTAGGTTAGCTTGCTACTAGGGTCCAGCCAATCAGGACTGAGTGAGATGGGCCAGACACACCCTAGAGCCCTCCCACAGTCCCTCCCGGGGGGGCCCTGGTGGGGTCCCTCGGCCTGGCCTGCGCCCTCTCGCAATCTGGGCTGAGGGACCCCCTCCCCCCAGTGCATGATTTTGTGCACCGGGCCTCTAGTTTCAAAATAATCACAGACATGAATCTTCTTTTGCAATGTCTTCTGTGGCTTAAAAATCTGTAAATTCATCATTCTTACCCAGGCTTGAAAAAAACATTTTCCACACTGCTTGTTTTTTGTTGTTGTTTTTATTCTTTGAAAACAAAACAAAACAAAACAAAAAACATTTTATAATCCATTCTGACATAAGGTGGTATCCAAATTAAATTATTTTTCCAAATAGGTAATCTACTTTACCATCACCACTTTTTAGCACTAACCAGGTGGTCTCCTAAGAGAGAATCTGCCGGGTTCTGCGCTAAAGAATTGGCCCAGGAGAATGAGCTTGAGGCCAGACTAGTGTCAGCGATGAGCGGCCTCGGTGGCCCTGCCCCAGGTGGCCCTGTCCCGGGCGCTCCTCTTTGCTTTGGTCCGTAGGGATGGAGGAGAGATGGGAGGAGAGTAGGGGCCGGGCGGGCGTGACCTCAGAGGGGCACATGCGGGAGGCTGTGGGCGGGGGAACCCCTCTGCGCCCTGAGTGCGGGGGTTCTATGCATCTGCACGGGCACGCCTGGGAGATAGGGTGGGTGCCTGGGAGGTAGGGTGGGTGCCTGGGAGGTAGGGTGGGTGCCTGGGAGATAAGGGTGGGTGCCTGGGAGGTAGGGTGGGTGCCTGGGAGGTAGGGTGGGTGCCTGGGAAGATAGGGTGGGTGCCCTGGGAGATAGGGTGGGTGCCCTGGGAGGTAGGGTGGGTGCCCTGGGAGATAGGGTTGGTTGCCTGGGAGATAGGGTGGGTGCCTGGTAGGGAAGGGTGGGTGCCTGGGAAGATAGGGTGGGTGCCTGGGAGGTATTTGTGGGTGCCTGGGAGATAGGGTGGGTGCCTGGGAGATAGGGTGGGTGCCTGGGAGGTAGGGTGGGTGCCTGGGAGGTAGGGTGGGTCCCGTGCCGGACCATCGCAATAAAGAGGGCGTTGCCATAAAGCAGGTCGGGATCTTTTCGCTTTCAGTTAGTAAAAACGCAGTATTTGTGAAGCTCAGTAAAGTCTGGTATCTCTGTAGATAAGTTAAAACTCATGAAACTGTACATGGAGAGCAAATGTCCATTTTATTGCACTTTCATTTAAGAAGTGAAATTTAAAAACTGGTGCTTTTAAGGCCACTAATACAGGAAATAATAAAGAAGGAAGCAAAATAAAATCTAATCTCTCATGCCTAACAAAACGATGTGAGAAATTCTTCTTATATCCAATTTAAGAATGGGTAATATAGGAAAAAATAGGCATCTTTTTAAGTTTGTTGTTCTTTTAACTACTCAGGGTCTCGGGCTAAATTTAAAACACGAACAGCTTGGTAATGAGGCATAAAATCTTTATCCAAATAATGGTTCGGAGACTTTAAAGCTGTTTCCCGTGTGTTTCTAATGGAGCAGGAGACGGTGCTGGAACAGCGAGCGCAGCCGTCATTACTGCCACGCTGTGCTTTTCGGAGCTGCCCGGCTTCACACCAGGTGGACCTGTTAACGGGCCAGTCGCAGGCAGGAGAGCGGGTTTCAGGAGGGGCGGGAGGACGGGAGAAACGCTGCAGGGCCGAGGTTCAGCCACCCCCCACCCCAGAGCCGGCCTCCCCTCAGAACCGCTCCTGCTGAGAATGCCCCGCGCGCTGCTACCCCCTGCAGCTGGCGGAGCTGCGCAGCAGAGAACAAGCCGTGTAGCCCAGATTGTGTGAAGCGGGACAGCATCACCGGGGATGTATCTCCAGTCATTGCCCGGAGCGTCACACTCGGTGTCAGACCTCTTCTACCTCCACGCCTTTCAGGGAAAGGCGAAGCCAGGCGTGAGGCGAGACCAGTGGTCCCGGGACCAGGGCTGGGCAGGGTGTGACTCCAGGGTCGCGGGGGGAGCGTGGGGGCGAGGGAGCTGGTCCCTGCCCTGCTGTGATCTCTGATCCGGCTCACATGGGCCGGGTCTAGGCAGCCAGTAAGTGCTTGTGAGCTGATGGCAGGACCTTCCCCCAAAGAAGGGAGATTAAGTGGAGTCATTGGTGGGGTAGATATGATCTCTGTGGCCTGAAGGGGCCGGGAAAGGGGGTCACTGAGAGAACCAAGGCTGACCGAGAGGGTCCAAAAGCAGGGAAGCCTTTGGGAGAAGCATGAATAGCGGTGCCTCAAACTACTGTCGTAATCCCCCTGTTGGATATTGCCACGTCTGCCTAACGATCGTCGGCCAGTCCATCTCTCTCTCCTCTTGACCATGTACATGGTGCTAGCAGCAGCAGCAGAAGCAGTGATGATGATAACTATAATCATAACCAAAGTGCTATGCAGTTCTTAGCTGCTAATAACCCCTAGGTAATAGTGGAAAGGCTGTAAGGAAGGTGACATCGCGCTAAGAGACGGGCCACTAGGGCCAATCGCCCTGGTTACGGAAGGAAGTCGGGGAAAGGCCTCCTTGAGAGAGGAATGGTTCAACTAGACTCGCCAGAGGGATAGAACCAAGGAGGTGAAGTGTGGGAAGTGGGTCACGATGGGGAAGCAGCGGGGTGTGGGAGCGAGGACAGGAGCACAGCCTGTGAAGGACGGAAGGACCCGTGTGGCTGGCGCCGGGGGAGCAGGGGGCGGCCCGACGCGGGATGCGGCCAGAGGTGCTGGTAGGGCCCAGCTGCAGGCTGTGAGTGCCAGGAGGGCTTCGGTTTTATCCCAAGAGCATGGAGAGTCATGGAGGGACTTGAAGCGAGAGAGTGATCTGCTCACACGTGCATTTCAAAGAGCAGCTGGTTGAAGTCTGGAAACTTACTGGGGAAGGCGAGTGAGACACAAGCCCGACCGGGATTGTGGCAATAATTCGAGTGAAAGAAGAGGGTAGCTCGGCTTCTCCTGTGGACGCTCGAACGGATGGACAGCTGGGTGGTGGCACAGGGGTCACCCAGGCTGAGCTGGCGAGACTCGGGGACTGTGATCTTAAAGAAACTGGCCTTGTCTCCCGCCGTCCCTGAAACTCATGCCCTGGGCCTTGCTCTTGCCCCTGGCTGAACACATGGGAGACCCGCCTTCCCGTTTGTCTGGTTGGTATTGCGGAGCGTTCTCACAGAGTGTCAGTTGTGGCTTCGTAACGGGGCCTGGCGCAGTGGAGAACCAGGGCTCGGGGCTGCTGCTCC